TGCTGTATGCTGACGGGAAATACATTAAGAAAGAAATGTTTTTGTCTCGAGGTGTGTTCAAAGCCCTTATGGAATGCATAGGTCATTAATTCTCCAGGCTTTTAGTATTTAAACCATGTGATTTACATTCAATCTATTTACGACGGTGTAAGTAATTATATATGCTGCAGAATGCTTTTCTTGTTTACTTTTTGTTGCATAATTTAAATAAATAACATGCGCAGCGAGCAATTCTGTTACATGCACAGCGTAATTACATTATTGATGATTTTTTCGACAGATATTCTTAGTCATATGCTGTTTTCTAGATAATGATCTAGGAGTTACGCCGAATATGACTCTTGAGCCATATGCAGAACAGATGCAAAGGTAACGGAAGATTTTTCCATCTAACGCTTTGCCATTTCTTATTTCTAAAAATTTCTGAAATAGGCGCGTTTTATGAGCTTTATGATAATAAGAAGAAATGAGGCCTTCTTTCAGATCATCCACATCGACTTGGCATGCAGCATCATCATCCAGTACATACTATGTGAATACCCTCACGTTGTCGAAGAATGCTCTAACGTCTTCTACACGCGGAAGCAAGTTCTTGAAAATTTGTGCATTTTTGTTATGCTATTCATGGCGATTTACCCCAGAATATGCGAGAACAGATAAAAGATCATACAATATTATAGTTGCACTTACTTTAATCAGAATCTTTGTTCATGTTCCGGCGAAGAGATCTGCGATTGTTTAACTTTTTGTGAGAGCAAAAATCTTGCTTGAAATAGTATTCGCTCTGCTTCTTTTCTCAAATATTAAAATTCCGTTTTTTATATAGGAAGTCATCACATTAACAAAATTTCTTTGAAGAAATGATTGAGTAATTTCGATTCTTTATTATTTATAGGCGTATGGGTGTTTTTGTTAAGGTATGTCACGCAAATTGAATGATAATGGCAAAGGATCATTGGATGTTGAAAAGCAGGTGAAATTATTCTTGAAGTGGAGAAATCTCATCCTTCTACTAGTGGTAAGTAGCGGTTGTGCATCATATTTTTCATGCAAAAGATCAAATCGTTTTTTATTTACTTTAGGGTAATGAGATCGAACGCCTTTGCGCTTGGTTAAATCCTCTTGGTGATGCAACTGAGGAGGGTGTTGCCCCTGTTGAGCAGTGGATGAAAAGTACCTTGCCAGGTAGATATATTTTATGTTTTTTTTAAAAAATATTTTTGGAAATATAGTCTTTTTGATAATGTTTATTTGTAGAGGCGAGAATGGAAGCTAGAGTATTGAAAGAGAACGCTAGATTGGCATGGGACATCTCACCAGAGCTAGCGGTCAACTTACCGACTAGGTACGAGTTTTTTTTCTGTATTTCTCACAGAAGATCCGTAAAAACTAGGAGGTAGTATCGAGTTTTTTGAGACGTTAACATTTGAAGATTCCGCACATGTCCATCTCTTCGTGACACTTTGCAAGATATGGTTCGTTGCCAACCTGAGGCTGTCTCGCACATTCCTGAGGCGCTTTCGCTGTTTCTGGGAGATTCCTCGACATTTGAACATAGTGAAGTCAGAATTTTCAGAGCTCAAATTTTCTCAATTTAGTCTGTTCGACTTAGTGGTTTTGTAATTTCTTTTAGATTGCTCATGTGCTGACATGGTCTACTTGTTCCCCTGTGATGGCTTTATCGTTGCTTACTCCGA